AAAAGAAAGAAGTAGAATGTTATCGAACTAGACACGTAATCCAAATATTATTATGACCAATCTTTTATCGTTACTGCATCTTCTATTCACGTGTTTTCATATAGAATAACTGACGATATTGAATCGGTGACAGTATTAAATAAATTTTATAACCAAACTAATCCAAATTATTCTTTATAATATTTATTTAAATGAACAATACCAATTTGAATATTTTTCAGAACAGTATCATAATAAATTTAAAAACTTGTCAATAGCACATAAGATAAATTTTATTCAAATATTTTTGATAATATTAAACAAAATTATAATTATAAATAATATTAATTTATAATAGAAAGAAAAAGATACTGAAAGACAAAGTGATAATATACTTATAATTATATTATTTAGAGATAAACTTAATAATCTTCTTAATAATAATAAAGCAATATTTCTTTTATATTATTTATATCAACAACAAATAATTATAATGAAAAATGATTATTATCATTAGTATCAAATAATAAGTTAGCAGATAATAATGATAATACAACAGGGTGAAACCTGGATTGCAAAAAAGGAAAAATCTGTGTTGATTAATTGTATCATGTGAAATCTGTTATTTTTGCGATTATTATGTAAAACCTGCGTTTATTATTTGTGTCATATGAAATCTGACGTTTTCAGTAAAACCTGAATTTTACTGGTCATATCATGTAAAATCTGATTTTTTTGGTGAAACCTGGTCGTATTAGGTGAAATTCGATTTTTTTGTGAACAAGAAATGAATGAATCATTGCCTTCTAGTATCATCAAGCCCAAGACAAAAAGCATTGTTTGACGGCCATTGCTGCCAAACGTATGATGCATGCAAGTGCCGCTTACAGAGGTTGCTTCAGTGTTAGACTTGTACACTTTTAACATTATGTCATTAGGAGGTAGAAAGTTAGGTGATGGTTATAAAATTTTGCCAGAGGACTACACGTATAAGGGTCGGATAAGAGAAGGAGATGTCAAAGCTATTACGCTTGTAAATGAGAGTGCAAAGCAATGTTCTCGTTCAAAGAATGCGTACATAGAATACATTGGATATTCTACTTGGGTATCTAAGATCCATTCTCTTTGGGTTAATTAATAAAAAAACTAACTTGAATTTTATTAAATAGAATGATTGTCACAAGGATAAGTGCAATTGGAAAGGCCGCATCATGGTTCCCCTAAACAAACCACTCAATCTTTGTAATATTGAATGCTCTGGTGATCATGATCCTGACCACATCTGGCAAAAACCACATCGAATGACAACATCAGTTAGAAAAACAATCTCAAGCAGAGCCACAAATACAACTCCCTCCATAATGGCAACAGGTAAATTTAGAAAAATAAATGTTCAAATTTACAATTAATTGATTGTGCTTGTATTTCAGAATTTATGAACAATGCGAAGATTTTTAGTATAAACCCTAGCACTCCTGCTAACCATGTTCAACCAACTTCTACTCGATTTGCGTCCAATTTCGAGGTCATTCAAAATGCTCTCAAGTATGACAAAAAATTGCATTATCCAAGTGCACTAGAGTTTGAAAAGGTGATTAATTAGTTTATTTTTTATTTCTTCATTTTTGCATGTTAATTTACTTTAATTTACAGGTTTGTTCTATAATGAATACTTACGAGAAAGAACGCATTGTTATATCAAAACAATATGGCATTAAAGATGCCGACAATTCAAAAGATCAAGCTGTGCTTCTTGGTATCGCATCAACTATAATGCTGGAGCTGTTGTCCAAATATCCAGATTTTTTGGCTGTGGACTCTACTAATCGTCGCAATAGTCTAAACTTTCCAAATACTGCTTTTATGATTAGATTAGATGAATCTCGTGGTCAGATTGTAGCAACATTCATAAGCAATAAAGAAATCATACCAGTTGTCAGTCTGATGTTTGAACAAGTGAGTATTATGGTTTGTTTAACAAATGATTTTCTGATTTTTGCTATAAATTTCATTATTTGGAGTTCATTGAATATAGTATCAAAAATGGCATTCGACTGAACTCTCAATGGTTAGCTATGGACAAGTGAGAACCTTACTTGGTGGCAGCTAGAAAACACTTCCCTAATACGCAAGTAGTTTTGTGTGATTGGCATGAAGGCAAGTTTTTTGGATCTTTAATTCTTTTTCATTTGAGTTTTATTTATTGACATCTATCTAGCTGATGCAATTAAGGAATGGTTTGTAAAAAACTTAAATGATCAATGACTTAGAGACCGAACTTTCTATCAATTTCATTTCATTAAACGATCTCGGGACCAAGAAGAGTTTGATCAATGAAAAACTGTTTTGCTAAACGTGAAAAAATTTCAGGCTGCCACTGGGATTATCTCATTAGCTACTGCAGAGACTATTATATCTTATTTTCAGGTATACTGGTTTGATGATTGGATTGGTGAGTAAAAATGGTTTTATTTTTTGTAATCTTCAATTTTATATTAATCTTATTATAGATACCTGGCCAGATTATAAACGGGATAGTTGTCCTATGAAAACAAACATGTTA